CTTGCTGCACGTGTGTTAAAATTTATAGAGCAAACATTCCTTTGTGAGTTAATATGGAACTAAAACTAACAACATCTAGAAAATACTTCAGTTCCAGTACTCTGTAACAATGCTGGCATCCACACATCAGGAACAGCTAAGACTTCACTGAATTTTAATATTTTGCAAAGCTAGTTTTAGTTTCCACCAATTACTTTTTACACACACAGACTTTAAATGCCTGTGGTTCCCATGTATAATATGTATTCGGAAGGGCTCCACCTTCATCACCTCAAACTGCAGCTGGTAACTGTATTTCTTGTCCTTGCAGCCTATCCCAACCACAACCAGCATCAAGTGGAGAACTGGTTCGTGTGCGCTGAGATCATTAACAAAACAACACAAAACAATGCTACCCGCAGACCAAGATGGTGGATCTGAAGTCTGTCTACGAGCTGAGAAATCAAAGATGCATCTAATTAATAACTGTCACAAACAATATAAACTATTATTCATTAATTTATAAAAGAAAGCACAGGTTGGTCGAACGGTCACACAGAGAGCCACTTCCCCTGTCACCACCACATACAGAAATTCAATGAGAAACACTGAACAGATACAATCAGCAGCTGCAGCGACACACTGTAGTTTAGTCACAAACTTTAGGTCATGGTACTATTTGACTTTAAAGCTCTGTAAACATCAAAAGCATGAAAACAGTCCGACCACTGTTGCCCAGAAACCTGCCTGAAATTCTGGACCTCAAAGACCTTACCTGTGAGGTATTCTCCTCGTACGTCAGGTAGTGATTTGTCACAGGCCAAAGTTCACCTTTCAGCTTCTACCTCACCCTGACTATTCTGAGAAATGCCTGCCCCCCTCCACAGCTTCTAACTTTTACTTCATTTCTCTTCTGGTTTCAGAGGAAGCAGCTGATTCTTCTCTACTTTTCCACGGAGCGCATGAAGTCTAAGACTAACTTGCTTTCTTCGTCTCTCCGCTCCTCCCCTCTGAACAAACAGCTGAGTTTCTTCCTTTAACTTGTGCAAGGTACTGTAGCTCCACCCCTCCTGGCACTCACTGTGAGGAAACACTCCTCTCTGCTGCAACTATGACTCTTCACTACCTTTATCATCTTGTGGGAAGTCAAAGGTAGCCTGGATAAATCGCTTGGCAACTGATTTATCATCTTCAATCCCAACATATTTTTGAGCTGACATTTTATTGTCCTGCTCACCTGGCTGGAAGAGCAGTGAATCTGAAAATGAAACACCCCCATTTACCACATGACCACAAGTATGCGTGAGTGTTTTACGGAAATACGGACAGCAGTAACAGACTGATAGGGGAGACAAAGAAGTACTATTGTTGTGATCAAAAGAATGACACGAGACACATGCACAGGCCAGACCTTAATAATTCATAGCTCAATGTTTACCTTATAAAATTAACTTTCATTATTTTAAAGAAGTAGTTGAACAGAGCAATGCAGGAACACTAACACACAACTTGCTCGAATTTATTCTTTGGATCTGTATGTGTTTTTCTGTGTCTCACCACATAAACAATATTGTGGGAAAAAATGACTTCACAAAGGCAGAAAACTGCTGATCCTCACTTACAAACATTTCTGGCAACAAGTCATCCAGTGAGGTCACAACAGGTGTTTTAGATTAGATGGAAGACTGAATAATAAGGAAACACTCCCACGTTGTTACCTCCTATTTTACATGAACTATAATCAAAGGGGCTCCAGGGAGCTGTGCTGTTCAGAGGACTTTATGGAGACTTCTGAGCATCAAACAGCATTAAAACTCAATACATTTTCATTGATCTATAAAAAGTATTTAATATTATAGAGAAAATATTTAGAGTAAGAGATGACGGCTAAATAGTTATCAGTATGTGGAAATGGATACTGCTGAAAAATACTTATGGGGAAGCACAAAGTCCAGTCCTGTGCCTCACACGTTTTATATCATATAATAATGACATTGTCAGTTATCAAAACGACTTGATTTGTCAACAACACTAATTTACATCACTGTGGGAAAAGTCTAGCACAGATTATGTAAACAAAGTTTTCACATTACTAAATAATTTTTATTAATGTTTATTTAGTGGTTGTTTGAAATTAGAAACGCAGTGTCAATGTGGAGAAAGGGGATATTAAATAAAGATGTAAATCTGAAAATGGTTCAGTTTGGGGAGTATCTTTAAAGGGTTATAAGGAGAGTGGAGTTCATTATATAGATAAAGATGTTCATAAAATAAAATTGAAGCATAGTTATTGTTATGAAACTGTCGTTTTTCGTCTTCTGTGCATTTTCTTTGTTTTTTGTTTTTTTATTGAAATTTAGTTCTAAACGTGCTGCTATATAAAAAGTGTAATTTGCCTTCTTTCCATTTAATTAATTTCTTTCTTGTGGACATTTGTCACTATCAAAGTTTTCAAAGACCCAGCTTTGGTTTAATGTAAAATTGCAAACACAGTAACCATCTTTATAAAGCTGTAGGCAGATCTCCAGAAAGCTAATTCTAATACCAGGGAGCTGAGACATTCTTCAGCTATTAATAAATCTTCTGACATCCCTCCCCTTCAGCAGCACTCTAGAGACAGAGTCCAACTGTTAGTTAAATAAGAAGAGCTGTTTGATTAAAGGAAAAGGTAAAAAAATGTCAAATGTGGTCCTGAAGGTAGCATCATTGCTCTGTAAGTCTATGATGCCGTAATTGTTTGTTTTGTTTTTGTTTTGTTTTTCCGCCTGTCCCGTTTGGTTCTTTTGCCATCAGAATTATTGTCTAAAAAGGCAAAGAAAGATGCCCAACTGATTTACTTTACCAAATGGACCATCCCGGCCTTGCCATATTGGTCTATTTGATTCACCTTTGCTTTTATTGTTTATTTTATTTTCACTTGCTACACATGGGACAGACATGACTGGGGGATAGAAAAGGGAGAAAGAAAGAGATGTAGGGAAAGAAAAACAGCGGGGGAGAGGAACGGTGATAAAGGGCAAAAGACAAAAACCAACACAACAAACCCCTAATATTCCCATGTGGATATAATAACAGATGCTGAAGGTCAAAGGTCAAACTAGAGACTACAGTTGTTTCCCCACAGAACATGTTGGAGGTCTACGCTTCTTTAGATCTCAGGTAAGCACCATTCACTTTCATGCATTATTGACCATGTGGATAAAATACTACGGTTGGTGTTAATTGACGGACTTCTTAAACCTGTGCTGAACTACAATCCAAACCTGCACATCTGAAAATAAACCAGCACAATTCTGTTACAGCCCTTTTATTTTACTCAGTTTTCGTGTGAGGGCTTGTGTATGTTACTCCCCTCCTGCCGCCTAGCAGAGGGGGTCGTAACAATTCATCACAACTCACTACTAAAATACCACACATCTGCAGTGACAGAGAGACAAGGGAAAAAATTACAGAGACTGAAATGATTTTGTTCCTGTGCAAAGACATACTAGAAACCAGAAAGTGACTGATGATCACTTGTTCAAAAAGCAAACTTACTCATAATTTCAGATCAGAATCCTGGCAACTAATATCTGATGTCTCACCAATGTCTTAATGGATTATTTCATCCAGTTTATTTTTATATTCCAATTCTTATTGATTTCACTTCCTAGTTGTGCATCAGAATCTTCACTTCGTGAAGCTTTGTTTGTGACAAAAAGCAGTTGTAAATGAAAAGCCGTATTTCCAGGTTGGGAAAAATGTATCACACAATGTCCAAATTTGGATAAACAGTCAAAGTAAGCTCTAAATGGATCCCAAGACCTCAGATTTATTCATTAGAGAAGTGTGTGGCCTGTCATCTAGAGATTTAAACATTGTTGATTTCAGTAGTTGTCAGTAGTAATGCTACGTGGTTACTTAAACAAAATATTTATATTATACTAAGTAGAAAACCAGTTAACTACCAGAGGTGAGATGTTATGCAGCCACATGGCACAAGGCAGGAGCCCCTCTCTTTCAGTGACAAGAAGTTTTAAATAGGCAACATGTCAGAGCAAACTGAAATAAAACCACTCGACCACAGCAGTGTTTTCCGGTCCTGTGTGTGGAAGGAAGTGCTAGCACTGCTAACATTAGCTAGACTTGGCAAACTAATCTTAAAGTCTTGCACGTGTGACAACATGAAAGTGCCGCATATTTTAGCAACATGTAAAATACAGTTTGATTCCTGAAGAACGTGATTAACAGTTACAATCTCAAACACACACATTTTTAGGAACAATAGTCGATCATTAGATTGGGCTTGTTTGAATTATTTGTGAATGTTTTCATACTGTTAACAACTAATTCTTGGTGTCCTTTAGTTTTGCAAACCAGCTTTTTGTTTTCTAGCACAGACAGCATGAACAAACCAGACCCAGGACTCCGGTCAGCGTGGCTGATGGGTTTACCAGACTGGAAGCTGAGCAGCATGGCAGCATATGGCACTGCCCAACACAGCACTGAGCCCCAGTAACACTAATGCACACGTCCAGCCAATTACAAACACACAGACACGCAATTGGGACTCTGAGTACAGTAGGAAGTTCCATGCTGGGTCGGCAGCTGGTCAGCTACAGCCCATTTAACACAAACACACACAAAGAAAGGCAAAGAGACATGTAAACACTCAGCATGAGTCAATATAAGAAAAATAGGGGGGGGGGGACCCTAAAACTCAAATGAACAGTTGATTCAAAAGGTTATTACACAGGCCAGAATTATTAACACACACTCGCAGACCCTTATCCTCAGCTCATTAACTGCCCTCATCATCAACTAGACTGATAATAATCACATCACTACACAAGCAGAAATTGGGTGTGTGTGTATGTGTGTGAAAGCATCTAACCTTAACCAGACAACCATTAAATCGGCAACAACATCTGGTTAAGTCTGGATCAGTATACTGTTGCTTTAATGAGCAGCAATAAATCCCAATTTTAGTCTGTTATTACTAGATAAACAAATCTTCATGGATCAATGTGAGTGGTGCTTACTCGCTTCGTCGGCGTGCCTCCATCCCATCAGGTAGGAAGAGTTTGATTGTTGACACGATGCAGCCATGGGTGACTGCAGACAAAAAGAGAAAAGACACTTCAATATGAAGAAAACAAAATAAAACAGAGCAGAATGTTTACATATACAAAGTCCTGGATCATCAGCGAATATAGAGACTCTAGAGAATCCATGTCAAACATGCAGCCCGGGCTGACTATGTGTCAAAGTTCATAATTTTTGAGGAAATGATTTCTGCCTTTCTGGCCCATATTAACAAATCCTATGAGGTATCAAATTTCATATTATTGAAGGTTTTCTGATGTGGGGGTGTACAATTACTCCGCAACTGTTATAATTAGGTATGGTTCAAGAGTAATCACCAGTAGCTCACGAGTAAAAGGCAATTTTTTCACCAGTAGCTGCAGCGCTGTTGTATTACCACTACCTTCAGCCCTGTCGAAGGTTATTCCACAGATTGTCAAACACATGGGGAGTCAGTGCCTGAGTATTTGAGCGTATGTTGCTTCGTTCCGGGGCTGTGCGATATGACCAAACTCTCATATCCCGATAACGATATAAATAAATTTTACATTTTCTGAAAATTCTGTGAATCTTGGGCAGCTTGACTTGCGTGAAGTGTTTCCAGCTGGGCGTTGTGTACATGGAGTCGAATGTTTTAACCAATGCATGAAACTACACATTTTTAGATCTTAGTTGTAACGGCCGCCATTTTCTTTGTGAGTATTTATTACATGGCGTGCTGCGAAGAAAAAGCCTGTTTTAACGTTTGAGTCTAAGGTTTATTTTTTAGCACCTGACGGCACTTTTTTGCTTCTCATCCGTAAACACTCTGCATACTCTTTCACGTGATTCAGTTTATTTTGAAAAGTCTCAACAGGATCTTGAGCTTTATTCTGAAAGGTTTATGTGGAAAATAAACAAGCAGACACGCGATGGTTTTGCCATCGCTGTTGCTAACGACAACGTGTAGAATAGAATAATCCTTTAATTGTCCCACAAGGGAAAATTTGGTTGTAACAGCAGCCAGAAAGACACATATACAACAAACAGTACACAGGACACAGAACAGAAACATACACAATTTTTCTTACATATTTACAAAAACAGGCGCTTTGTCTGTCCGTAGTGTGGTTATATTAAATATAAGAGAAAGAGAGAACTTTAAGAAATTAATATAGCCACTACAGTGTCCATCAAAACGGTAAAAAAAATATTGCCATAAACAGTAACTGCTACCAGGTCAAGCTTGTGTCCTGTGTGTCACAACAAAGAAGTGGTTTGTTTTGAGCTAAATAAAAGCACACGTGCTGTAGTGCCTGGATCAGCATGTGAGCTGACTGTGTGCAGAGGCACACAGATGGACAGAAAAGAGGGAGTCACATGGAGGGACTGGGATTTTACTTATTTTTGATAATAGGGAAAACATTATTATAAGCCTGTTCTAAAAGCTCCCTGAAAAGCCTTTAGCTGATCCAAAATGCTGCAGTGAGAGTACTAACAGGGACTAGAAGGAGAGATCATATTTCTCCCATATTGGCTTCTCTTTACTTTACTGGCTCACTGTTAAGTCCAGAACTGAATTTAAAATCCTCTGCCTCACATAGAAATTCCTCAATAATCAGGCCCCATCATGCTTTAAAGACCGTATAGTATGATAGTATATCAATAGATCACTTGTCTCTCAGACTGTAGGTTTATCTGCGGTTCCTAGAGTTCCTAAAAGTCAAATGGGAGGCAGAGCCTTCAGCTGTCAGGATCTCCTGTGGAACCCGCTCCAAGCTGTCCATCAGGAGACAGACACCATCTCTGCTTTAAAGGGCTTGTGTGTAACCTTTCTTTCTGGTTAGGGTTAGTTCGATCAGGTCGTCCTGAACCATGTCTTAGTTATGTGACAGGCTCAGGTGGCTGGGGGACTTCCCATGATGCACTGAGCATTTCTTCTTTACTCCCATCTTTTCACTAACTGTACGGTAACATGCCACTATCATCTCTATTCTTGTCTGTTTTCTCTTTTCCCTCCTCTCACCCCACAACTGGCCACGGAAGA